CCTTTTGTACTTGTTGAGGGCTGATTTGCGACCTCGTATGTGATCAGTTCTGCAGTCAGGAAGAATGCGTATCCTGCTGCTTTAGGACGAAATGTTCTGAATAGATCTGTTAAGTCCCTCCGGTCTAGCGTGTCATTCAAAGCCATTGTTTCCTCGGTGATTTTCCGCTTGGATGACCTGCCCACTGCGGTAAGTGGGGGGGTTAAAGTCTTCTTCTGTTATTGTGTTATTATCAGTGACTTTACGTTTGTGATTTTTTGGTGTGTATATTCGGGTTCTGCCAAGTTGGGGACGTAAATGTTCTTATTCCCCCGTAAAGAAAGCGTGTGCTGTCTGTTTCCATCTCTGTCTTCACCCCAAGCCACTTCCTTGACCTTAGACTCGTGGAGTCAGCTGCTTGCCGGACATCCAGGAGCATGTCTCTCAGGTACCCGGCACTCAACGTGGCCAAGGTGGAACTCACCATCTCCATTCCCTCCTGGATGAACCACCCATCTCGGGTGCCAACTGAGGTTCCTAATTCTGTCCCCCCCATCTGTATTTCCCATCCCAAAGGCTTATATCTTGGTCTGGCTGTTTGTCTGGACGCTCACACCGGCTTCCTCTAACTAGCCCTCCTGCCGCACTTGTTTCTTGCCCCCGAAGTCTTATCTACGTGGCCGTCACAGCGGCCTTTGGCCCCAAAGCTTGTGTCTGCTCGGGTCACTGCCACATCTAATGGCTCCCATTACACGGAGTAAAGTCAGCAATGCTTGCAACTTGGTGGATTAGTCCCCGGCATGCCTCTCTAAGCCACGGTGCATCGCCCTGCTTCACACTTTGCACCCACCACCTGGAACTCAGCAGGGCTTCACATTTCCGGTGCCCAGCCCCCACTAGCATGCTCTTCCTGTACACTCCATGCCTTTGAGAATGGAGGCACCCCTGTCTGGAATGGTCTCTTCCTCATTCCTCTCCATCTCCTGCCTCACCACCCCTTCACACGTGACTTCTTCTTGCCCATCTTTCATAATCCATTTGGGTACCACCTCCCTCAGGCTGCCTTCTGGATTAGAAGCCTCTCCTTGAACTCCTGCAGTGTTCGGGCATCTCCGTATCATGGAGCTCTCATCACTCTTCGGGTCTGTCTTTCACCAGATGATGAGCCTGGGGGGTGTCTTATTCCCAGTGTCCAGCACAATAAATATTAAATGAGAGAATACTGAGGTGTCACTTACAATAGCCAAACATATGGAAAAGAGCAAAATCGACTCCCGGCGTTTCATTTTCTGGTGTAAGGAGGAACAGAATTCCTTGTTAGATCAGCTAATCTAATAAGCAGAGAAAAAGAATGTTCTCATGAAATTATGCATTCACCTTCTGTTTTCATTTGCTGACATAGAGCATCCATCTAATTGGATTTTTCTCCTTGGGGAAATCTAAAGGAAATGGGTCCCTTGCTGTTCCATTTCCAATATGGCCATTGTCCACCTCCGCTCTTTTCTCACGGGACCTTTGACTGCTAGCCCCTTTTAAATTAGACGCATGTCTGGGGCACCTGGGCGGCTCAGTCGGTTGAGCGTCCGACTTCGGCTCAGGTCATGATCTCGCGGTCTGTGAGTTCGAGCCCCGCGTTGGGCTCTGTGCTGACAGCTTGGAGCCTGGAGCCTGCTTTGGATTCTGTGTCTCCCTCTCTCTCTGCCCCTTCCCCCCTCCTGCTCTGTCTCTCTCTCTCTCTCTCTGTCTCTCTCTCTGTCAAAAATAAATATACATAAAAAAAATAAAAATAAATCAGACACACGTCTGAGAAAGTCTCAAGTAAGCACATCCTCAGTTTCAGCCATGGCTTCTCAACAAGTCGTGGTCCCTGGGAAAGACATGGGGCACGGGTTACCCAAGCTGAGAGGGGACAGTCCTAGACAAAAAGAATATGCCTACAGCATTTGCCCGAAATTCAGTCCTTCATCCATCCATCCATCCATCCACTCGTCCATCTGTTATTCCTCTTGTCCACAAGTTTACTGACTGTCCTCTACCAAAAGTTCATTGTCCAATTCCTGGCTTTCCTGGTGGATTTCCCATGTCCCCCATACATGAAGCAAGTCTCCTCCTTGGACATCCATCTAAACTAGCTTTCAGTTAGAAAGCCTTAAAGTATTATCTCTTTGTGGTATAAATTATATCTCTACGCTTTGTGTTACAAATTATATTTCTACAAATTCCTATGTGTGTTACTCCTCTTAGTATTAGGTTCATTCAAAATAAGGATCCCTGGGGCACCTGGGTGCCTCAGTCGGTTGAGCGTCTCAGGTCATGATCTCACAGTTCATGAGTTTGAGCCCTGCGTCCGGCTCTGCGCTGACAGCTCAGAGCCTGGAGTCTGCTTCGGATCCTGCGTGTCTCTCCCTCTCTCTGCCCCTCCCCCCACTTGCATTTTCTCATGAATAAATAAACATTAAAACATATAAGGATCCAGCACCGTTAAGCACAGAACTACTAAAGTGTCAACAAAATATAAGCAAAATAATAAAATTATGAATGAACAGTAAATAATATAAGTAATAACAATATAACTTGAATTGTGTTAAATCTTCTTCTCCTCTGTGATCTCGAAGCTGACCAAGCCCTCTCTCCACAGGAGCACTGAGGCTGTTCCAGGCCCTTCCTCGTGTAGCCAGGGCTCCCACTCCTCCTCCCCATTCCCCTGCTCTGTGCGTCCTTCTGCCTGCTCCCCCCACCGCGTTGTCTCACCCCCTCTCTGCCCCATTTTCCATCAGCCCCTCCACTTCCTCAAGCCCCTGCCTCATGATTTCACCTCCCATCCCCCTGCTTCCCTTTATTCAACGTTTATTTATTTTTGGGACAGGGAGACACAGAGCATGAACGGGGGAGGGGCAG